AAAAAAACCAGAACGACCTTCCACTGCTAGCAGGGAAGGTGGCTGGAGCGAAAACAGTACATTTTGAAATAATCAGCACTGAGCACTGTGGAAAACAGAAGAGAGAGCCTTACACATGGTTTGTGGAGCATGCCAGGATCTCCTCTTCCTGAGCTGGAAAAGGGGTTCTGCTACAGCCAGTCATGTGCAAGGGCTGTTTCTTCTTGTTTGTGAGCCAAGGATGGGAGAATTAGGTGAAGGGAGGAGTGGGGAGGAGTGTCAGCAGGGTTAGTGTCAGCGGGAGGTTCAGCTATACATACCACCCAGATGCAAGTCGATGAGGTCACTGTAATAAGACTCTCCCCAATAGTCTACAACAAGGAATTGGTGAAGACAGTTATTGAACCAGATACCCACCCTAGCCCCACACAATCAAAGCAATATATGAGAAAAAGACATACAGAAACAAGAAAAAGGCAAACAAGAAATATACAGCTATACACATGGGCATATATATATATATAAAATTATGTGTCTCTTTCTCTGTATATATACATATATGCACACACACACACACAAATATATCACAAACATGTATATTGGGAAGATGAGGAGAAAATTCCCAGCAGGCCAGGCGAGGACTTTCAAGGGGAAAAACCAAAAAGTCTACACAGAGACACTTCACCTATTTCAGTCTGCACCAGTACCTGACCCTGATGTCTTTCCTGTTCTCGTTGAGAAAAGCAGAACTAATCTTGCTGCTTTCGTGCCCAGCAATGTGTCAGAAGGAAGCAGTGTCATTTCTTAGGTCAGCTGCAGGAAAGGTGTAAGGGCTGATTTCTTGCAGGTGACTGAGTGGAGGACGTGTGTGTATGGCAGATGGTTGGAAGGCACTGGCCAAGCGCTGAAGGAATGGCCTCAGTGTAGAAAGGTGGGTATGTGTGTTTCTGCTAATGCAGTACCTATGCCAGAACCTGCACAGAAGTGTATGGAACAGAGACGTGTACGTCCACAGCTGCTAGAGACAGGTACACGAGGAGCCTAGCACTGGGTAACATTTCTTTAGGGAAGCGACAGACGGGAGTACCGAGAGCGCTATTTCTCACTGCATATGATTGACTTGATGTAAAGAGGTGGCTCTTAAATTTTTCAGTAGTGATCTAACAGTAGGAGACATTTTCCCAGCTCTTAAAAATGACTATCAAAATTTTTGCTAAAGGAGGATTAAGGGAGAAAAAAAAGGGCTCCAGAAATTTCTGATTGTTGTATTTTTAAGTTAATAATTGAGAAAAATGAAAAATCCACACAAGAATTCAAAGTCATAAGCATCTCCAAACAGGCGAATGCACTATAATACAAAGTACTGTTACATTAATAGCAATCCCATCCAAGGTGTCTCTTGGGACACCCCAGAAAAATGGGAAAATTCTTCATTGACATTATCCTACTTTACCTTTGCAGTGTGTGCTGGTTTTGGCTGGGATAGAGTAATTTTCTTCGTAGTAGCTCCTACAGGGCTATGTTTTGGATTTGTGCTGGAAACGTTGATAACACAGGGACATTTTCGTTACTGCTGAGCTTACACAGAGTCAAAGCCTTTTCTGCCTCTCACACCACCCCACCAGCGAGTGGGTGGGGGGTGCACAAGAAGAAGGCAGGGGGGACACATTTGGAGTGATGGCATTTGTCTGCCAAGTCACCGTTACTCATGATGGAGCCCTGCTTTCCTGGGGATGCCTGAGCACCTTCCTGCCCATGGGAAGTGGTAAATTAATTCCTTGCTTTGCTTTGCTTGTGCACGCAGCTTTTGCTCTCCCTATTAAATTGTCTTTATCTCAACCCACAAGTTTTCTCACTTTTACCCTTCTCATTCTCTCCCCCATCCCACCAGGGGAAAGCAAGCAAACGGCTGTGTGGGGCTTGGTTGCTGGCTGGGTGTAAACCACAACACAGTGAAATACCATGATGCAAAAGAAAGGGGAGAGGTGGGAAGAAAAAAAGGGGATGACAAAAGCTTAGACCACCTGTATATGACAAACTTGCCCCCTGAAATAGAGCTTATCTTCCGAATCATTCATTCTTGCTATGAATGTGACTATCAAAGGCTGAGATTGTCAAAGATAATCAGAGAGAACATATTAAGGCAATTAAGTAATCATAGGGTGTGAGATCATTTTCTGAATCAGAAGGTAAATGGTAGCTTGAGCATTTAGCTTTTAAAAGAATAAAAGACCAACTGCGCTTTGCCTGAGGCTGAGCCAGTTTAAAAAAGGAAAAGACAAGGAGGTAGCCAAGAAGGTGCAATTATTTGTCAAAATTAAAGTTGACAGTGATGTCCCAAATGTTTCTGAGTCTGATCAGTCGAATATTCCAGCTTGACAACTATCAGATAATGAATGAAATTCCTGGAAAGAGTATTGAGCCGTCTGTACCTACTGCTAGGATCTAAATTAACTGTAATCTCTCAGGAAGACAGCAGGGCATCGCTGGGAAGAATTTATTGATAGCCTTCTCAGTATAAGTCACTCGGCAAGAACATATTAAGGATGATGCAAAATGGATGGAAGAGAGAAGCAAAATAAACAAATTCTTACCTACAGTACTGGTATTTGTTCTTACCACTTTTTTCTAAAAACAGAAAGAGGTCCAGAGGTCAGAGATCGGAGGAATTAAAGTTAATGGAAGACCTCTACAAAAGCAAAATTTGAAATTCTTCACAGACAGAAAAGATGACTAATGGGCCACATGCTAACAGATGATAAATGACACAGAGAAGTAGTTCAGATGGTCTTTCCTATCTTTTCTACAACAGAAAAAGAAGAGAATCATTACAAAATACTGAATTTTTCTTCAGATGACACCACCACTTTATACACTGTCCTTCCCTTTTTAATCTTTTGTTTACATGGTTTCATTACGGGAGGGACCGATCAGAGACCAGACCATGACTCCACACCTTTACACAATGGTACTTACTGAATGCAGCGGTCACTCTTAGGTCAGTATCTTAGGCAAGGCAGACGACAAGAAAATTATACTGCTCTGCTGAATAATTAATGGCTATTGGAGGCAGAAATTAATTGTACTTATGGAACGTGATGCCACAGACTTTAAAAAGAAGAAATTCAGTTATTTTATTGCAAATATGTGTAAAATGTCCATGCAAGACTGGCTAAAGAGGTGAAGCATGGAATTAATTTTTAATCTTGTGTTTCAGTCAACAGGTTAGAACATGCTTTTCCCCTTCCCCCCCACCCCAACAGAATGTGTTTCTTGTTAATCCCCTGAAATAACTGGAAGAGTTCAGGCTGGTGAATTAAGCCAAGAGTGAATAAGCTTCTGTAACCATAATGTATGATCTGTTGACAGAAATATGTTGCAAGAGCAAAGCATAACCTAGAGGCTTCCTGAAGAAAAGAGATTCATTTTGCAAAGAGCGACCTACAGTTTCGTAATTCTGCTAGGAAATTCACAAATACAGAAGCTCATCAAAGACTGCTTCCATTTTGGGGGAGCTGGGAGTGAGAAGTTAGTTACACAAGGGTTTAATTCCACAGTCTTCCATATAAAATACCATTTCTTACTCTTGGTTATATTCTGTCCCCTCTGAACGTTTTTTTAGGCATTCTTCTATCATTCTTCAATGAGAGAGCATTCCACCATGAAGAATGCTCTCCCAGCTGCTGAGATTTCCCACTTGTGCTGACATGTCTTATGTGAAAGTCATTTAGCAGCTGAATAATCAAGATGGACTTCCAGATGAAAAGAAGAAAAAGGAAAAGAACAATTAGAGGTAAGAGAGATGGGTTTAGTAAGCGCAGCAACTGGCAGGCCAGAGAATGGAATGGGGCTACACAGAAATACACAGCATAAGGAAGGAGGCACCACCGCAGAGAAAGAGCTTTTGCACAAGGCTATGTTTCTGAACCCACAAATGCAAAAGCCAGTCAGATCACAAAACCACTGAAGTCCTCAGGATTGTTCTCCACACTTGTAGTGCCTATTTGCTTTGGCAACCACTCAGTCCTGCTGCTTTGGCACACCCTTATGGAGCATCAAACATACCTAATCCTGGCCAAGTAGTAATTGGCGGGAAGTCACAACAGACTTTTCCTCTGGTGAAACTTCACTGCTTAATCAAGTTCCATCTTCACAGGCATAGCAGTAGTTCTTCAATCCAAGCAACAAGACAAAACATTTTCCAAACACCTGTTCCACTGTTACCATCTCTGATCTCTGACCCTTGTAATCAGGTACATAATCCTGGGCCTGTCCGGTATACGCACACTGCATTTGCCTGTTGGATATTTGACTCCTTGCAATTGAGAATTCTTTTATCCAAATCATTATACTACTACCAGCATTATCTGAACCAAGTACTCCTCCATTCATATGCTTGCCAGATCAGATGCAACTCATTTAATTTAATGTCAGGTACACGTAACGTTCCTTTAACAGCTTGACATGGGTACCTTCCAGTACACGTGTGCACTTCTGCTCTGCACAACGCTGTTGGAAGTAGCCAGTGTGCTGGGCTGTGCAGTGAGGAAGATGTTCTGTGATGGTCCCTTGTAAGGACACTACCTTGATAATCCAACACAATAGAGAAAGCACACACAATTTCACAATTACTTCCTTAACATACAAACAGGGTTCTTTTACAGTAACAGCTTTATGTTGAATTGCAGCTAGGAAACCCCTGCAATTTCTAGCTGCAACATCCAGTAATATGCAGAAACAGTCAAGGAGCATTATTAATAGTTGGAGAATTATCTCCTAAGCCTCAGGCACAGATAAGTGAAATTCCCTAAGTCTCTGCCAACAGAGAAGTCCTGGAATTAGAAGAAACACAGGAAAAACAAGGCCTCAAAAAGATAGTGGAAAAGGGAGAATGGATTCACATTGGGCTCTATCTCTAGGCTATAATGGCCTACTTGCCTCTAAAATCCAAGCAGCTATGGACTACTGCACAAGCACTTGATAAGAAAACATTAAATAGCAAACCAAGTTCTGATGGATACCTGCTTCTCCCCGAAGAGCCTTCTCCACCGCAACCCCTCTCTCTTCGAGTTGCCTCTGCTTCTCTTCCACTTGCTCAAGTTGCCGCTGGATGATCTGTTCAGAGAAGAATGGAGCAGAAACTCACCACCAGCAATTCTCCTGCTCTGTCTACAGCACTCATTCAGCGCTACGTGACTTCAGTCATATTGGCTTTTTCAGAAACAAGTATTTGTATTCAACAACACACTGCCAGAAGCTAACTGCTTCAAAAGCTAGCACCACAGTCCCTCCAGTGACAGCATCCTCCCCGCCCCTTGCATCCTATCTCTTAATTTTGCAAACACCTTGATACTCACTTATTTGCTACAACTCCGATCACCTTCCTAAACACTGAAGTTAAAGGTGATGTTATTCAGTCAGCTGAGCCCCTGTCTCGAGTTTTAAACAAACCCCATCACCTATAGAAGATGCCAGCAGCTTTCCAACAGATTCTCTGGTAAGTAAAGGTTAATTTGGTAACAGTCCACCCAGCAGCATAATCTAGCAAAGCAATGACAAGTGCAGGTTCATCAGGTATCATCTGACTATTGCTGTTCCATTCAGTGCATGATGCTTTGCTCATCTCCAGCTATAAAGGTGTTATGGTCGTTATTTTTTTCACTGTAAAACTATCATGATAGGTTTTAGCCATTCCTCCCATGCCTGTGACATGGTATCACATTTGAAAGAGGCAGTAGGAGCAGGGACAATCGTGTAGAAATAGAAGAAAGTTCCATCTCCGGATCTTCTTCTGACACCCTCAGAGGAATGCCAGAATCATGGTGCTTTCACACAGAGTTAACTGTCTGCCATGACAAGAAGACTGTGAGACATTACCTGAGCTCTGTGTAACCTCTTTAGCTCCTCTTGCTTGGCTTGTCTACGGGCAGCTTTCTGCACTCGCCGTGTCAGCTTGGCATTCAGTTCCTCTTCTGTATAGGCTCTCTGAAGGAAGGAAAAACAGGGGCAGATTTTATTTGCATGCTCAGAGGTATGGGGGGGAGGAATGACCATTTTCTCTTCCAAAAGCTCAGAAGGGAGGTGTTCTGTCTTTGCCATGGCCGTGTCAAAAGTCAAGCTTCTGTAGGCAAAGGTGTTCACAGTGCAGTGAGCAACAATTTCAGGGTCAAATCAGGAGTGAAGAAGCATATAAGCCAACTGCAAAACTGTGATTTTTACATAATGTCCCACCCCTGTCTTCCGCTGCTAATGACACCTCTCCCAAAATATCTAATAAATTTTTATTCTATTTCACGACAGGTTTAGCCAAATGGATTTAGGTAAATCAGTGAGCACCACATGGGGGGGGTCACCTTGATTTCATTTTAAAGGAGGGTAAAGGCATGTCTACACAAACAGTTACACCAGTATAAGGTAA